ATATTTTACTCTGTACCTTGAACAGTAACAGTTACGCTGCATGTGTCGGTATTGCCAGACGGGTCCGAAGCTGAAAATGTTATTGTATGCGTTCCAATGCCAAGAGTTCTTGGAATTGATGGATCAGTAGATATACCAATCGATTCTCCTGAGTTATCGGATACCGTGGGGGAAGGGATATCCACAGTAGTATTTACTTCGCCGAAGTCAGTGTAAAATGTCGAGTTAGCTGCACATACTAATGAAGGAGACTCTTTATCTAAACGAAATAAATAGCAATGTTCAAACAACGTAAAACTTTTCATATAAACAAGCAAAAACACAAAGTTCGAACAACGCAAGACTATTCTCTTACAGGGAAAAAATGTTCGAACGACGTAAAAACTGACAGTTTATAACAAAATAAAAATTAAATATTATTTTTTAAAGCTTTCTTGCCGAGAAGCATCTACCAAAGAACGTGTTTTTACCTGTAACAGTAACCATAACGTCACAAACACCTGAATTCCCAGCCAAATCAGTAGCTGTAAACGTCACGTTATGTGAACCAATAACAAGATCTGCTGGCATTGGTGGGCTGCTTGTAGCAACGATCTCTTCCCCTGAATTATCAGATACACTGGGTGGCATAATGTTTACTGTAGCTGTTGCCTTACCAGTATCCGTTTCGACTGTAACATCGGATCCACATATCAAAACTGGTGATTCCACATCTGTAGTTACAATAAATAAATGAATAAATAAGTAAGGGATTCTGTTCACTGATCTCTACTATAATAGCTGGGTTGCTCATTGACTGATCTTAGTGAAACCACCGACTCAATATTATTGGTGAGTCTAAAACGTCATCACAGCGCAAATCTTTTTAAGCGGCATGACGGGCACCAACAACGCGACATCACTTCAGTGGTTAGGCGATTTGAAAAAAAAAAATCATTACGTCAAATTTAATTATGTTATTAAAACGTATTGCAAGAATCGTTATTTTAAAAAATAATTTAAACAAATTAATGCAACCAAAAAACTTGTCTAGACTAGTACGTCACTTGGGCTCTTGCATATGGCGTCGATGGCTTCAGTTATTTTCTGTACATTGATTAAAGTAGAGATCAGTGATTCTATTGTATTAATGAAATTAATATTATTAGGGATATATTGTCTCGACGACGACAACGGGAACGTCAAGTTTACAACGGACGTGCGGAAAATGGTTAATATACTATAAAACTACTATTGCAAGAATAGTTATTTTAAAAAATAATTTAAACAAATTAATGCAAACAAAAACTTTTCTAGACTAGTACGTCATTTGGGCTCTTGCATATGGCGTCGATGGCTTCAGTTATTTTCTGTACAATGATTGAAGTGGAGATCAGTGACTCTATTGTATTAATGAAATTAATATTAAAAGGGATATATTGTCTCGACGACGACAACGGGAACGTCAAGTTTACAGCGGACGTGCGGAAAATGGTCAATATACTATACAACAGAAATTGAACGATGCAGAGTATTTTTTCGGTACTCCTGAATTGGATTAGCCTGCATATTCATCAATCCACCTTTCTTCTACCTATATTTTTCTATTATTTTCTGCACCTGGGACAAGGCTTATTATGTTTTCAGTTTTTGGACTATCAGACATTAATTTCTTGAATAAGTTGTTGTA